GGCTTCTGGACAGACAAGCAAACAGACGGACAAACAGGGACACGTAAAAAGCAATGCGGAAGGAAACCCGGGTGGCAAAAAGTGGTTCCCTGGTCTGTTGAGACGGCTGCCGGATGTCTGCAGAGAAGACATGTCGCCCTACACGCCCTCCCCCCTTATTGACACCCAATGTGTGAGGGGAAGCGCGGTGTCATTTCGCTTTCTGATCTAAGCTTTTCATGAGCTTTACACGTAGCGTGCTGATGTACTTTCCTTCCTCCCCCTTTCCCCTGCCGTCCATCCGTCTCAAACCCCTGTCAACCCCCGGGTTTCCCAGGGCAATCAGCGAGTTGGTGGTCGGGATGCTGCTAAGTGTGGCTAGAGGCCTGGTCGCCAGGCCTTGGAGACAGGTACGGGAAGGTAGGGTTTTCATTACATAAGCCTACGCTGTACAACATGCGCTGTACACAATACAATTAAGATGCTTGATGAACTGACACAGTGGAAGTGCTTCATGAGGATGATGTCAACGTGCCTACTTGCGAAGTCCGCTAGAAATACTAGAAGGCGACATCGCGGTGTTTACTTATGTATGTATGTCGGCGTTATGAGCAGTCACGCATGTGCCCTCCTGCTACACACAACCCTCCCAACGCGTACCGAAGAAGTGATAAACCCAACTGAAAACACGCCCACGGGATCGCAGTCCGAGGAGCAGCAGATTTTGGCACCCATTCCAACACACATGCTCCCCGACAACTTCGACACCGACTTGGACATTTGCCTCATGGGCGATAAGCTGCGGGCCGCGGCAGTTGACATGCAGGTATGCACGGCAGTCAGTCGTACAAATACCAATTTCCCTCCTATAAGAGATTGCAAGAGATGCAAACAAGATAATGATTGTTTCTCTCCTCGTCCCCTTGGTTCACCAAAGTCCATATCATGACAGCAAGGTCAGGAAGCAAGAAGGACGCCGGGGCCCCAGGGGGTGTAGTAAGGGCTGTGGATGTTGCGCACGGCGTCCAGGAGAGAGCGGATCCCTGCGGGGTGTGCCGTAGCCTCCAGGGCGTGTCTGAAACCCAGCTTTACCCCTCACGTCTCCCCCTTACCCCCATATAACACACAGGGTTTTGAATGGCGTGACGAGGGCAGAAACCCGCAGGCTCCGAAATGGGGCTTCACAGCCACTACGCCCAACGCCTCCATCGTCTTGGCCATCACCACCGCCGCTGTCGCTGCCGCTGCCACTGCCGCTTCCGATGCGGGTTTGGCCACGGTTCCGGAGCCTGCCGTACAACATGGCAACAACGCCAGCCTGCTTGTGATCGTTGCGTACCTCAAGAGCTACGAGGATATAGGTGTGGCCGCGATCTCCTGCGAGGGCGGCTGCGTGTGCAGTGAGGGCGCGGATGAGGCTGCGGCTGCCAGCGGGGCGCACCAGGGTGAGTGGTATGATGCCCGGACACGTGGACACCACGTGTCAGGCCTTGTGAGCCCGTTGGAAGCCGGGTAGTAGTAGTGGCAGTAGGTGGCCTGAATAGGAGACAGGGCAGAGTAGCAGCAGCACTGGAAAAAGGGTTGTCTAGGAAACAGGAGTATGATCTCCGATCCACCGGCACTCCGAGCCGTCCAGACCAGTTCGGCAAGGGCAGGGTACGGCAGGGCAGGGAAGTAGACACCTTATCATCATACTCGTGAACTCTTACTTGTTGGACACCCCGAGGATATTTGTTATTACATATACCAAGGCGTGCCCGTTTAAGTCAAGGCCGAGACCGACGGGGCATACATACAAATGTTTTTCTATGTTTTTACATGCGTTTAAAACTGTACGTATGTCCCCAAAAACTGGTTTTCCGTCCTTACTCCCTCATCACCGGCAGTTCTCTCTTCACCCTGGGCACCCCACACCCCCAATTTCGGCTTCCCACCCACCACGCGCGGGTCCGTTTGGCAGTCCTTGATAGCCTCTCCTTGCTTGGCCGCTTGAAGCAGGGGACGACGACGTCGGCGGTCCAGGTCACGTGGCTGCCCGGCTGGACGGTCTTTCGTCTGAGCGGTCTTCCCAGCTGCATTTGGGTTGCTTCCCGGCAACAATGGTGGCACCGCAGCTCGAGTGCCGGTTGCGGCTGCGAGTCGAGGACGTGGGACGGAGCGGCCTCAACAAGGTGGGAGCTGGTAGTGTGGGAGGTCATCGTCTTCATGTGGCGCACAGTGTGCGGTTAACGGCAGCTGCGCCCTGCTCGGGCATAGGCCACAGGGCTATTCACATGGTCCCTTAGAGTTCCAGGTAGTTAGGCTACGCTAATCCTTGGTTTTAGCATTTACGGAGGCGAAAACCCCAAACCAACTGAAAACAAAATAAAGCTTTCGGGATATTTAATGAGTGCGGAACTATTTCATTGCGCCTCAATGCAAAACCTGACTCAGATCTCGATACGTTTTAAGACATCATCCAAGACCCAAGGGCGGGTGCAAGGCCCCGACTCACACTAGGGGCGCTGCACTCGACCCGTTCGGGGTCCTCTGTAACAATCGCATTCTCACATATGCTGCTGCGCTCCTGTCCACCTCTCCCCCAACCCTCATCAGGTGAAGCTCGGAGGCATCATCGTCAGCCACACTGCCAACGAAATCGCCCATTCCATGTGCCGAGAAAACTTGGAGGCAGCCCAGCGCGCCGCCGGATTCCTAGAGCGGTAGTGCTCCGCCTGGGGCTTGCGTTATCAACGGGTTTGAGGATTTAATAAAGGCAAAAGGGCATAGATCCTTTTCAGCCCTGTCGCGTCCGGTACTTTTGATCTGTAGGGTTTTTCAGGTCCCCAGGTTTTGCACGCGTGGGCACGCAGGAGCTGGTCCGCATGTTGAGCGCACCGTGTAGAAATGAGCGGGGGGATGGGAGGAAGTGCGCGGGGCTTTGGTTTGGGGTTGGTGTGTGAAATAACCCGGCGCCCCGGGCACCCCGGTGAAGGAAGCGGCAGCGAGCGGGGGTACAGCGGTAAGAGGCCACGTAGCAGGGGCATGCAGCGGTTCAGCGGATGGCGGGCGAAAGAAAGACGAATGAATATTCGACTAGGCTCATACTTTGATGATTTCTGAATGGATTGGGTTCGAGCAATGGCATGTGTCGCAGCCATAGCGACTGGGAAATGTTGTAGAAGATAGGATGTTAAGAATACAGTGGGTCTTTGATAGCTGTAATGATTTTTGTGGGGAAGGGGGGAAAGGGAAGGGGGGAAGGGGGAGGGGAAATGCGGGTGGGCGCTGCTTTAGTCAGGTCAACTTGGGGGTGCTCCATGCAGTCTGTCTGGTAGGGGTAAGGAGGCATTGCAACACCGACTGAGGCGGTGCACCCGATCCAAATACGCCAGCTAGGGCGCTAGGGACTTTGGCCGTTACTGCCCCGCGGCACCCAATTTCGATGTGTTTTAGCAGTGCAGCAAGGTGGCCAGCGGAGCAAGGGACAGGCTTGTACGACGGCGAATTTTGTGTTTGAGTCTTAATGCTTTTAGCTCGTTTAAACTATCGAAGGTGTGTGTATACGTGTGCGTGTGCGTGCCTATCCTCCGGAGTCGGGGTCCAGGGAGGAGTGGTACTGTTTGTCCATCTGTCCTGGTTTGTCTGGTGGTTTGGGTGGGGGCGGCCAGGGAGTTCCTTGGGAGCAGCTTGGGAGAGGGGATGGAGAGGGAGGTTAGCTGGGGCTGGGTTTGCCAGGTAAGGACGGAGGGGAGGGCTCTCGGCGTGGTAAGCGATAGCAGTATGGGCTGTGCCTTTCTTTGGGCTTTACAGGGGCCCGCCACGCCAGCTTGTCACAACCCCCGCGGCCAAAGGTGTTTTGCTTTGTACCCCTTGCTGAGCCCCCGACCCCAGAGGTAGAGTGCCATTTAATGGAGGTTCTTGCTTTGCTATTTGCCTTAACTTCTGAGAGGGTGCGAGCAGGGCTGACCTAGTGCGGCTTGCAGCGCTCTGTGCTGCTGAGTGCTCTAGCCAGGTCGAGTCACCCACAGTGTAACCCCGTCAACAACACCATGTTATCTGCTTGGTGCACCACCTGTGGAAGGAGGATAACTATTGCCAGGGCTGCTTCAACATCATTGCTTGGACATGCAACCTGAGGAATGTGGTCCTTCACTTGTCGGATCTCAGGACCCCATTGCAGCAATGGAACTTTTAAGGATAGCACCAGAAACCGTTGCCGCCTTGGATTAGTACAAGATAGGTCGAGCAGAGCAGAGACTGTGCGTATTTTCCAATTCTTGGCTGCGAAGTCTGCTCAAGCAGGTCACAGTTAAATGCATCAAACAAAGAAGTTCTGAGGGCATAGGAAGTGTTACATGCAGCGATGTAGTTGAACGCTGTTAGCCTTCATGGCCGTGGGAAGCATAAATACTGCCCTGGGACACGGGCCACAACAGCACCATAAGCTATTGTAACCATGTTATATTTCCTGGCAGAATACCAAGAGGCGTCCTGCGGGTACCAGCTTGGCATTTCAAGCCTCTGCTGGCCAAGCTTTCCTTTCTAGGAGCACATAACGTTATTGTTTTGGCTCGAAGTCGCGATGTTATGACTCGTCAATTCATTACAACACGGCATGCGGGTTGAGCCAGGCCCAATGGTAAACACGTATAAGCGGAAGCAAGCATTTTGCAAAGTGTCAAGGGAGTAGCAAGCCAGCTGTTGCTGCGTAGATACCAAGCGTGCGAAAAAGCGGTTTGTAAAGGTAATCCACATCACTGACATCGGCAAACACGTATGATTCAACCGTACATTGTACGAGCCATACTTGTCAGCAGTATTGCTGCTGCTGCTGCATGACACACTAGGCAATCGCACTGTTAACTGTAAAGCCTTCAGAGGCACTACAGAAAACGAAGCAAGATATTTTGAGCTGCGAATCCGGACTCAGGTGTATCAGGTGGACGACTCCCACCAACGCCCCCATCCGCGTGGATTCGCCGAGGGCAGTAAATTGTGGCTACCGTTTATATTGCTCGACTAATGCTCCCCGAGACTGCATGCTGAAGGTGAGTCGCCGTGCACACTTGACGTAGACAGCTGCTGCTTTGCTGGTTTGCGTCGTTGGTCCCTTCAAATTTATTTAAGGTGTTTAATCCTGTGGAGCTTGGGATGTGATGTATATGCCCGAACTGGAGTGTAGCAGTCCACGTCACAAGCCCTTTCCTTCCGACGCGGCAGTGAATCCGCACATCGCACTTGAAGATGCACCCCGTTGTGGCAAATTCCGATTATTCTTCTGCATTGGGTATCTAGCTTGAAACCACAGGGTCTGGTAGGGGCAGTGGGCATATGTACCGGTTAACCGGTTTGCACTTTTTGCCGATTACGGCTGTTAAGATGCAAAATGCATTTACTGATGCCACTTAATGCAGAATGTAACCTAGCCGCAACAAATCCTAACAATGACGACTAATGCGGCGGCTGCCTCACAACATCCCTTTTCCACGCTGCTGTTTCTTGTTTTCCTGAGTACAGGACAATCCCGATACTATTCAGAAATATATGGGCACTCGCTTTTGCAAGGTTAAGAGCTTTTGGACGGCGCAGACATAGTCGGTCAGTTAGTCCGACAGCCATCGGCTTTAAGGCTTGCCAGGTTACCTGGCCTTCTTGGACATCTCTTCTTTCTGTGATATTCCTGAGGATTAAATATCTGGCAATGGTTTGGGCTTCCCAAGAGCCCGCGGACGATTCCACGTCAGGCTTCGACAGTGTGCGCGCCAAGCCTCTGAAAAGGCGTTGCGGATCCCGCGCCGGCCTCTCGCGCTACTACAGCAGCAAAAGCCAGTCGTTCTCCTCCCTTGAACTGGTGCAGTGCACCCAGTTTGGCACCTCGGCAAAGGCGCTCTCGAAGCGGCCATCCAGCTTCGATTTGCGTCGCGGCAATCCGCGCGCGGGCAAAGGTCTCAGCCACGCCTGCTCATCTGGTGTCCGAAGCACCCTTCAGGTGGAGGGTGCAAGCATGAGTTTAGCTGACGAGGACGTTGACGATCGTGACGGAATTGACACTCCGACACGGTGTCCCTGCAACGACACCATCTTCGCGGACCCCTCCGAGGCCTTCATGAGTCCCGAGGGCAGCCCCAGCGCTAGCGCTTCGCCGCTACAGCTGTACGGCATGTGCAGCGGCAGCGTGTCGACTACTGTTATGACGCCGTACCAACAGCAGCGTCATTACCAGCTGACGGCCGAGTACCTGACGCACCTTTCCGCACTGCTGCCGCTACAGCGTCCCTTCGCCTCCGCCAGCGCCAGCGTCGGCAGCGGCAGCGGGGAGCTATTCTCCGCGACGCCTAGCAGCAGCAACTGCTGCAGCAGTTTCAATAGCGGTAGCAGCAGTAGCAGCAGCAGTACGAATGTGTCGTCGTTCTGCGACTCGGCCATCTTGACGATGGCCAGGCTGCAGCGGCAACCTGTCGCCGTCGCGGAGAGCGGCGTCGCCGCCGCCGCTGCGGCAACCGCCGCCAGCCACGCGCCTAGCGATGAGGCTGCGACCCACGCACTGTTACAGGCGGGCTGCGAGGAGGCCGACTGGCGGAATGCAGGGGGTGTAGGCATCGGGGCGATTTGCGGCCGCTCTGCCAACTCCTGCTCCGGAACCGGCGGCGCCGGCGGCGCTGCTGCCGCCCACATTCTCGGCTACCAGAGTACCTCAGCCTGCGTCGGCGGTGGTGGTGGCAGTAGCAGCAGCACCTTCGCCAGCGGCGTTAGCCGTCCCTGTCGGAACTCCCTCCGGCCCGGCGGCTATTTGGTTCCCGCGTATGGTGCCTGTACGGCAAGTCCGACGGCGGCGGAGCCATCTTGCGCTCCCGCCGGCGGCGGCGGCGGCAGCGGCAGCAGTAATGTTGCCGGCGGTGGCGGATCCGCTATGCTTGGACGGAAGTTGGGGCTGGGCCTTCCGCACCGTCGGTTCCGCGCGGCTCAGGCGGCAGGTTTGGTTGCCGTACACTCTGCCCGCCACGCCGCCGCGGGGCTGTGGCTCTCAACGGAGGACATGATCGCGGCGCTCACCCTCAGCGACAGGCAGATGCCGCAGCAGCAACAAGTTTCGGCGCCGCGCGCACCTGCCTGGCCGTCAGGGGCCCAGCCTGGCGGTGGCGGTAGCGGCTTCGGGCCGGGTCATAACGCCAGCACCGGGGGCACATGCCGGCCGCAGCAGCAGTTGACGGCGGTGCCGCCGCCGCCGCCGCCGCCGGCGACGACGACGAGCGTCAGGGGGAATGACGGCGGCGGCTCTCCCTCGAGAATAGCACGTCCGTCGTGTGTTGAGGCGGGAAGCAGGCAGCGCCTGCAGCATGAACAGCAATGGCTGTGTGGCTCTGCACCTGCGGCTTCGCTGTCCTTTGGCGTCTAAGCCTGTGTAGGCCGGTACTGGTGAGCCGGTGTCGGCACTCTTATCACACAGCTTTTTTAGCTCTGCATGGTTGTTGTTCTTCGGTTGTCGGTTGTCAGTTGTTTCTCACTGGTCTTGAGCCGAGACCGTTAGAAACCAGACCAGGCGGCATTGGCGGTGGCGGTCGTGATAGTGGCGATCCTCCGTACACGGACTTCAGGCTTGTGTTTTTTTCAAGTTGTTTCAGGAAATGTCTGTCGTACGTACGGGGACTACATCTGGGTGTTTGGGAAAGGGCGGGAACTGTGGCCTCTACCCGGATGATCATCTTCCCTTCACAGCCGTCCGTCCGGAAGTGACAGGAGGGCCCCCCCAGTAAACTGTGCCTCTCGCAAAGGGGTTGCCACCACCTACCGTTACCCAGGGTCGTCTTTCTCAGCCTTGGCCTTTTATATAGATCCCAAAAGAAATCGTAAGCCTCCTTTTCCTTTTCGTGTGTCGTACCGTATCGTGTACGACCGGATCTTTTCCTTCCTCGGAATGTTCCCCGTTTGTGTTTTTGCGCGAGGGAGTGCGAGAGAAGACTTTGAAATCGCTCTACGTTGTCGCGCGGAATGTATGTGTGAAAGAGGGAGGGAGGGCGGGAGGGCGAGTGACTTGATGAGACCACCCACCACCACCGGCGGCAGCAGCAGCAGCAGTAATTCTGTTCGTTGGCGGACGGGAAGAGGCGGATGCTTTTTGAGATGGTTGTTGGTTGTGAGAGCTGCTCTCCCCGAGGGCTCTCGCCTCCCCTCTGTGCGCGTGTGAGAGTGAGTGAGTGAGTGACCTGCGTGTGTATGTATGTATGTATGTATGTGTGCGATTTGTCAAGATGCAAGTGCTCGATGGCGGCAGTCCGAGCTGCTGCTGCTGCGGCGGCGCGGCGGCGGCGGCGGCGGCGGTAAAGATGCCGCGTGTAGACCCACCGCGGTCAACGCTTCAAGTAAGCCGTTGCTTGAAGGCGCTGGGTTGGGGGGGCACCTCAGCTCAGCATGCTCAGGGCACCTCACACTCGCGGGGCCTTCCGCCGTCAGGAGCCCTTCCCGTGTTGTTGGTGACTTGTCACTTGGCTTTTGACGTCAGCGAACCGACAGCGGCGGGTTACAGCGTGCGGCGTGAGAAAAACACGTTGCTTTTCGCACACGCGCGCGCATAACCGTGGTGTACGGCATGCGAAGGCGACAAAGCCCGTATCGCACAGCACATGCACAGTCAGCATACACGATTGCGACCACAACCACCACCATCACCGCACAACCGCCAGAGGCGCACAGCTTCTTCAGGGGTGCCTCGTTCTATTGTGGTGGGCAATCGGTATGTATGTCTGTGTGTGTTTCGAAGGGGGAAGAAATGACGAAATGAGCAAAGAATGCCCAAAGGATGAACAGAGACAGAGTCATGGACAGAGAGGGCCCTAAGAGGAGAATGCTTGTGTGTGTGTCTGTCTGTGTGTCTGTGTGTGTGGGTGGGTGTATGCGTACATGGGGGGGGGCTGTGTCCCTTGTTTAGCAAACAGGCCGCTAGGTGTACTAGGGTTTTGGAGGAGGGGTTTTGGAAGGCGACGTACCGCTCGATTGACTGCGCCTGTTGCAATGCGGCGGTGTGGCTGTGTGTGTGATGTGTGTGTGTCTGTGTTATGTGCTGGCGACGGCACGGGAGGGAGCGGCAAGGGTTCCTCAAGACTGTTGCCATACGGGGAGATTTCTATTGCTGCTGCTGCTGCTGCTGCTCCCAGGCCTGGTCAGATATGATGTAAGACACTCACACGTGCACTTTTCCGTCTCTTTGTGGGTCTTTTTGTGTGTGTGTGTGTGTGCGCGCGTGTGTTTCAGTCTTCATGTGCCGTTCTCAGCCACACGTGCACTTTTATCTCTTGCGCGGCGCGTAAGTACGGCAATGAATGCGGCACGGCAGCAGGGGCAGCGTGTCATGATCCCCGTGTGTGTGTGTGTACGCGATCTCGTGCGTGCCCGTCCTCGTCGTCGTTGATTGAGAGAAGAGAACAGGGATGCAGTTGGGTACGGGTTTCAGTGGGCTAACACATGCCGTACGAGTACGGCATGTCGTACGGGCATAATGTACGGTGCCCTATCTTGGCTTGACTGCTTGAGCATAATGAATGCATCGCAGTAGTGCCTCTCGCGCCTCTTCGGGGCGGGAGGGGGGCATATATAATAGGAATTAGTTTTGTAACAATTAGCGAGTTGTAACACGCAAAGTTGGTTTGTTGTTAGGTTTCGTAAATCGGCGGCTGCGTCTTGGGGCTGCAAATCTCTTGGTGTCGTCGTACACCGAGTGTTCGTGTTATATGTGTGTGGGTATCTGTACGGACAGTCGTACGGGTGCTGCCAAAGCATATGCGTTTCCTAACAGCAATCGCCGTACGTTGATGTGTCCTCATGCGCTTTTTTGTGTTTGAAAGCTGGAAAAACGGCGAACTTGCGAGTAGTTGGCTGGTAGTTAGGTGCCGACTAGTGCGCACATTTCAGGCAGGGACATTCCACCGGTGGTGGTTAGGATGAGAGCGGACACTGTACGGCATCGTACGGCACTGCAATGACGAACGAAAAGGTCCCGATGATGAGGAACGGTTCGTAAGGGTTGTTGGCTAACTGAATTGTGGATATAGGCTCGGTACGGAAATTGCACGGCACACTTGACGACAACTGCATAACGGGATAAAAATGAATGTGAGAACTAGACTGACCACATAATTTTGGCATCGCCATCATAATCATTGAGACTTTTCTGTTGACTTTTCTTCTGTTGACATCTATCTGTTGGGTCCGTCTGGCGTTACTAAGGATACTTGGCTCAGGTTTGGTCCACGGGTTGACCGTTGACCGTTGCCCCGGACTCAATAGGGGTTGCTCATGTCGAAACACATTCGCATCTGTGCGATGCTGTTTGCAACTGATCTTCCCCAAACACGGCACAAACAAGGGCTATTAATATGAGCTTAAAATTCGGTTGAATCGGCTCGGGGCGACCTGGGCACCATATGAGTCCCGTAGCTCTTCTTTGGGCGCTCTGTACTTCACGGTACGGCAGTGTAACGTGAGCTTGTCGTACACAGATAGATAAACAGATAGATAGATAGATAGCCAAAAAGATCAAGGGAACATCCCCCATCGAAAGCTTCACATTTGGAACTGCCGCCAACGTCTGTCCCGAACCGCACTCAATCCGGGCGTGACTGCAAACACACACACATATACGCACGCACACACGTACGAAGGATGTCTTCCGTACACAGATGTACGTCCGGGGTTGATGCCCGTACTGTGCGTTACGCGTCATTAGGTCCTTTCCTGGTGACGATTCCGGTCCTGTCCTGGTCCCCTGTGCAGGGGTGTGTGTGTGTCTGTGTGTCTGTCTGTGTGTGTGTGTCTGTGTGTGTGTGTCTGTGTGTGTGTCACTTTGTGCGGCATTGCGACTCTGCCGTTCCTAATTTTAACTTGTCGAGTTTTGGGGGAACTGGCTGCTGCTGCTGTTCATGATGATGATGATGATGATGACTTGCTGGAGACATCGCTCCTCATATGTACTGCATCATACGGCATTTGTGCCACGTACCACGTTTGTACGGGTACATGCATTTCGGGATTATGAGAGGGCTCTCCTTAGAGGGCTCTGCCCTGCCGTGACCTTTTTCTTCACTCTCTTCCTCACTTGATTGGTTGGATGTTGGTGCATACATGCTTTTCAAACATGTTGGCGTTTTTTCTCGGCGAAGATCTCTTTTGGCGCCGCTGCTAAGGTACCGCAAAATGGGTTTTTAGTTGCAGGGCGTGCCTTTTGTCGCGTCCTGTGTGTTCTCTAGGGCTATTGCGGATACCCATATATACCGAATGTGCCACATGGAGATGGTGACGAGGCTTCTTGTTTTTGTTCCGTCCACATCGATTCATCTGTTCAGCTGTTGCGATTGCGGTCGTTGTAGTGCTGTTGCGGTTCGGTTGCGGTTCGGTTGGCTATAAAGGAGACTGTGAAGAGAAAAAAGAGCGGCACCGTGCCAGCTTTTCGTTGGTTGCGGCGGGCGCGTACTTTGGCGGCGGCTTCATGTTCGTCGTTTTACAGTTGTACAAAATCGTACCTTGTTCGTCGGATAGATGTGTGAACTGCATGTGCAAACCATCCCATGTGTGTCTGTTTGTGTGTCTGTTTTTTTTTTGTGTGTCTGTTTTTTTGTGTGTGTCTGTGTGTGTAAAAAAGAGTTTTCTCTGGGGAAAACGGAGTGAAGTGCGCAGCACCTTCTGGTTTCTGCAGTCGCACCGCCTGGCCGCACCGCCTTTCGTTTCACCGCCCGCCTTGACCCCAAAGTATCGACATCAGGTAGCTGGGTCTTGTCTGTGTTTTGCACGTTTACGATGATATGACTGTGCTGGGCTCGCATTCCCGAAATGGAAAATGCTAAAGTGGTTTTCGGACACGCACACCCAGACTTGTTTTGCTTGCTTCCCTCTCAAAAGAGAGCAGGTGAGCAGAAGTACGGGCGTACGAACAATGTAACCAATGAATGTAACCCATGATGTAACCTTCTGAATCTTATATTATGGCCACTGCTGAGGAAAGTACTGAAGCGCACGACCTGCTCCTTCTTGCCATCCAGTACTCGACAGGTGTGGTGCTAAGTGTTCAAGTGCAAGTGTGTGTGTGTATGTATGTGTATATGTATATGAAGCGGGGACGCCAGCTGTGCGACTATCTCCTAATAGGATAATTTCCTGCGATGTCGTCGGCAAGCATGGGCAGCTCATCACGCCTTCGAAAATCTCCCTCCGGCGACCCCCGGGGGCCCCCACAGCCCTTTCCTAACCTATAGATAACACCACCAACACCACCAACACCAACACCAACACCACCACCACCACCAACAACAACAACAACAACGGACGAGGAGCCGCGCGACCCCAGCCCTGCGCTGTGTTTCGGCCCCCGGTCAGGGCCCCCGGTGCTCTCGGTCCTTTCTCGGGACGAGAGCCGCCCCCCACAGTGTAACACCCCATCAACAATAATACTTAAACATCAGCAACGACGTTAACAATAACACACCAACAGTATCATCAACAATAATACCAACCTCGTTGGGGCAGCTCCTCTTCAAACCTTAAGCTTCGTTCTCAGCAGTGTTTTGAAAAGAGCAAGATGCAGTCCTTTCCGCTGCCGATTGTTGGTAGTTAGTAATTTCAGTTTCCTTTCCTGTTTTCCCCGGGCCCTTCGTCTCTCCCTGCTTTGTGGCCTTGGCCGGCCCTCCGTTTACCCCGTCTGCATCGCACTGCTAAGGCAGTTGTGTGTGTGTCCTAGAAGGAAGCGTGAGGCGTGTGCTTACGGTTCGCGGGGGCTTGTAGGGGCGGAGCTTTCGAGTACATGTGTAACACGAGTAGATTGCCAGTGAGGTTATAATGGTAATTCACAGGCTTTGAAGGTGGTGTTGTACGACCGGACGTGTTCATGAAAACCGCAACACACAGGAGGCCCATGTGGCATGCTGCTGGGCAACTCTGCCGCTGCTGCTCCTGCTGCTCCACCCAGCAACCAACAACTAACACCAGAAGCGCGGACAGTTGATCAACGAACACCGGAAGGAATAGACCAGTTAATAAGGACAGCAGTACTTCCTTCCCAATTGCCCTACATTAAAATGAAATGTAGCAACCTCAACATGTCGCTAAGTGGATTTTTGTGGCGGTTGCTACTGCTGCTGCTGCCGTTGCCGCGGCAGCAGCGGCATCCGCACGCTGGTAAAACACACACACACACACACACACGCACGATGCAACCGTGTTTGCACGCCGCGACCTGTTTTTACCTGGCCTCCGATACAAGCCAGGGCGCTTCGATGCCTTGCCGATTGCCGTGGATGGCATCCTGGCACCAGCCCAGGTGCTCCGAAAAAACCTTTGCTCCTTTTCTGTCACAATGATTTCGCGCCAACTTTACAATAACGCGATTGGCGTCGGGCATGAGCGACAGGAGGTTGCCTACGAAATACAGCAGCTAGGCAGGCTCAACCTGGCAGGTGTGAAACCCATCCGTCCAGACAGCCAACCATCCAACTCGTCCGCGTATCCCTTCCTCCATCCCCCCTCCGTCTCATCGTCCTTCCGTATGTCTGTCTGTTTGTCTGTCTGTCAGTATGTCCGTATATCTGTCTGTCTGTTTATCTATACAAAGGTGGACCCGTTCCAGCCGACATCTGAGGCATTGACGTCCGAAAACTGCCGTATATCCGCGTATCCGTACCCAGAGGGGCAGCTCCAAAGCGAGACATATGAAGGCGCAGGGGTTGAGGAGGGGTTGAGCATTAAACATTATAATCAGTATCAGTAAAAATCTTTGACAGCGAGTGGCGGTTTCATGTACATAAGAGAAAAGGGGTGGCGGTTCGGGAACTAAAGGTGGGCCTATGTGGGGGGGGCTGTGTGTGTGGGGGGGCTCCTGGGGTAGCTGGGCCCCTGATGGCAATCGAATTCTCCCACGTACCGGATAACCTCTAAGAAGAAACACACAACCTGAAGGGATGCGTGGGAAGTTCCCCTTTAGGGGAAGAACACCAAAGGGAAGAACTCCCCTACGGGGAGTCTTCGACAGCTTCAGTCTCCAGGAATTCCAGATACAACACCCCCCCACCCCTCGCACCGAAGTCGGACAATACACCCCCTAAATCATGCCGGGCATTACACACAACCAACCAACACACCAAGCGCCCATTGCACTCCCACTCGGACTCGGACTCGGGAGCCCCACGTCCTCAACCCACGACTTAAGCTCTCTTTCCCCCCTCCCCCCCCACACACACACGATGACGACGACGACTACTCTCTGCTTCTTGCACGTGTGTGATTTCCACATCATCCCTGGAGTCCTCAACACTCGAAACACCGGTCTCTCCCCCCCCCGGGAGCCGCACCTCGATGTACACGCGGGCCGCGGGGACGCCCAGATGCGTTGAGAGCACCTCGCATATCGCCGCGGAGATCTGCCGGATATTCTGTATGTATGTATGTATGTATGTATGTATGTATGTATGTATGTATGTATGTATGTATGTATGTATGTATGTATGTATGTATGTAAGTTATTGGGTTTCGCCGGAAAGGAAACCAAACCGGCAGTGCGGGGCGGGGCAGGGCAGTAAGGTGGGCGTGTGGTAGCAGTGGGTGGTGGGTTAAAAGGTCATGACATAATTTCAAACCCACCACCGACATGCCGTCCCCGCGCAAACGCTCTAAGCCCCCTCACTCTCTCACGCCTGGGAGCGGTTTACGTAAAAACCTCAGTAAGCTCTACACTCTATACCCCTCCGCTATGTCCCACCGTGGTGGGACTGGAAATGATCGGTCCGATTTATTATAATGATCCTGTCGATACTGCAATTGCTACTGCTACTTCCGCGTACCCGCATCATTACCAATACAACGTCCATGGCCCCCCCGGCTTTTACGGACACACCCGCACTTGTGTGCGGAACTTGTAACTTGTAATGTGTAACTTGTAACTTGCTACTGCTACTGCGCTCACCGGCTGGTTCACGTCGCCTCCAATGGCCCCAATGGACATGAAGTATCCAAACGCACAAGGCTCCTCCGAACCACCGTAGATCATGGGCTTGTCGGTGGTCAGGCTACACATCACCCACTGCGTGGGAGGTACGGGCGCCATGGGGTGGGATGCGGCGGCGCGGGCGTGTGTGCGTCCGTACAGGTGGAGTACATGGATCGTGTCGAGGGATTGATTCATCTCCTCGCGTCTGTATGCAAAACGTCACCCGCTCTCATAGCCCTCCTTCGGCCCATATGGCCGGAATTGTTGTTAAGGGACTTCCCTTCCTCCCGGCTGCTGTTGCCCGGCAAGCGCACCTGCTCCGGCTTGCCGACAGATTTTGACACGGCCTTGCTGAGCGCTTTGAGGACATCCGAGCTAGTCACTCGGTCGCACGGAACTGCGATGGATCAACTATGTGACATGCGTATGTGAGTGAACTATGCGTAACAATCAAGCTGGCTGTGCTCACCGTTTGTGATGACGTTAAGCGTAGGCATTCTTACGGTATTGCACGCAGTGGTAAGTTCAGATGCTAATTCAGATGAGTAATCAATGGTTCGACTACGGATTTCAAAGGAGAGTGTCCTCGCTCCGGAATCATGTCGTATGGATGGCGTTAGGCCAGGGTTATCATAGCAACCACGCCCAAACTGTCGCTAATTTTATTGCATCTACATAAGTTTGGGATTGGTTTATACCTGCAAAGATAGCTACTCATGCTATGGTAAAGGTATCTGTAAGGCCAATAATTTACCGCTTTAAAAGCGATAACCAATTTGGGGCCACATAGGAAGCTGAAGCAAGATAAAAGCAAAGGCCAATTTGACGTTTCTTACTCAGATCACGTACCGCGTTAACGGATGAACAACCCAACCCCCCCGCAGCCACATCGAGGTTTCTCGTTCGCCCATCGATGGGACATGTAAGATGCTGTTAAAAAGATAGATAGAGGCTCAAACTGTACGTTTCCATGCAGCCATGTCCTTATTGCTACCCCTTTTGACGGCCGTTTCCTGGCCCCCATGTAACATCAAAGCATTTCACCGTGGAGTTAGTCCGATGGTGGATGAAATGCACGCTAAAAGGTATACATGTACGGAAGGAAGGTACATCGCCCTTTCGTGGCGCACTTGTGGCACCGAGAGCGAAGTCGCCCCGGCAGCCTGACGGGGCAACTGCTACCACATCTACTCCGGTAATACCCGTGCTAGGACCCCTTTACGCCGTGTTATCTACACTAACGCAACTACTTTGCTGACCCACACCGCCCCTGTCCCCCCTGTGCACATTCTTTCAACACTCTTTGCTGCCCTTGCTTGTGTATTTGTTTGCACGTTTGCTGTTGCTCGAAGGCAGGAGGCGACTGGAGGAGGAAGATACGAAGGAATGAGAATTGTTGTTAGTTGTCCAATCCCGTGCAAGCATGTTTTACTAATACGCACTTTTTCCTTCTGTCGAGATCAGCTAAACCAGTAATGGAATGCACTAAGGGCCAATTTTGCATATCCCTCGGTCATCGACTGTCCAGTCGAAGCCACCCCGCTGTCCGCATCCGATCCCCATTTCGCACCTAACCCTCTGCACGACGCTGCACGATGAAAAGGCGCTAGCTGATAACACAGACAGACGACACTTCCGAAAATACGTCTAGTAATGCACAATTAGTATGAAGAGGCCGGGCGGAGAGAGAGAGAGAAGAGGGGAGTGAGACAGCATCTATCCAGCAGACCCAGTCGGGGGGCAAGGATTAATATGATGATGATTAACAGCTTGCTTGCGAGGTATATGCCATACGGCAGGCATGGTTAATGGACATCAGGGTTACCCGGTCGAATGATGTAAGGTCCAGCGTGCGCAAGCAAAATGCATATCCGTAACGAGGGACAGGCATGCATTTCGTCTTGTTGCTCTTCTCTTATTATTTTAAATTATCGCAAAAGCCTTGTTTTTGGTCCACAGGACACACATGGAGCTCGCGATCTGGGATTAACGTCCGTATATACCTCGTCCGTATGTAAATGTCGCAATATCACGCGCATGCATGAAGGTACAAAAGTGTATGTGTGGTAAAGGCCAACCCTAGGTGGCCTCTTCTGTCACTGGGCCGGCCACTCGTCCACTTACCCGCCCACTTACCTTGGTGCCTTGCTCGGAAGAAAACATCACAATTCGTCGAGAAGCATCACCCAACCCTTTTTCCTCAGTCTGCCCCCTTAATGCCCGGAATTCGGGAGCGGCTGCACCCTCGGCGACCATCTCAATCATGCGACCATAACTTCCACACCATATGACGCACCACCATCGGCAGTTCCCGCGACACGGCTCAGATCACTAACACACAGTAACACACAGTAACACACATTAACACACACACACACAGTAACACACATTAACACACACACACAGTAACACACATTAACACACACACACACACACAGAGCCTCCGAAAGCACACGCAATGGTAATCAGTTGCGCTCCAGCACATCACACGCAATGGTAATCAGTTGCGCTCCAGCACATCACCATGCAACAAGCGCACCCTCCCGTCCCGCCCCCTAACTACCCCCCCACACAAAAGGTGGTCATGCCTCCACTCCCACAGCTACAGCGCACGAGAACTGAGTAGGGTGGATGGATAGACGGATGGATAAACAAAATACAGAAACAAAAGTGCCCGGTGGATACAACAGCACACGTAAACACAGATATACACGCACACACTACTGCAGTAGTGTAGTGTGATGCTGCGGGAGAGGAATCAATCAATAGACCACGTCATCATGTGTCGCGAGCGAGCGGACCGTTCCAAATTTCCCAGGCCCCCCGGTGCCTCCAAACGTCGAAGGGGTGACAACGGAAACTTGTTTTCTCATCAAACTCCTCTTTTCACCACCAGCGGACCGCTCCCCCGGATGGCATTGGAGACAACTTCCTCCGCGCAGATGGAGCCGCTTCCAAGGAGCCGCTTCCTCCAGTCCCCCTTGCTGGCGTACAACCTAGGGGCCCTATGTACGGCCAAAACTGTCAGGGCCTATGGCATGGATGGGGGCGTCAGGATCGCCCACGCGTACACACACAAGCGCAGACAAAAGTCAATAAGATACAGCCAACAACAATGAAGCTACAACATAGAAAGAAAGACGGTAAACAGCCATAATCCGTGCCATTTCGTGCCGTTTGACAACCTTTTGCTGTACCCGCCAAAAATAAATCTGAGACACGATGTGTGCATGATGTGCATGCACCGTTTACGTCGTCATCATCGTCATCGTCGCACATGCCTCCATCCACCCAAACGCAGTCAGCCGCCACTCGCCGCTCTGCTTTCTCCTCTCCTCCACTCGTCCACATGCTCCTTCTCTGTACAAGGGTCCCAGTAAAAAAAAACCTCATGCATCCTCACCCCCAACCTAGCCGCTGCAGGGGTCTGATATAAGGCCCCACACTCGGAGCCCGTCAAGACTAATCGGCAATCCGAAATAAGTTACACCACGGGATGATCCCGCGCAGCGGCTGCATTCCATCCGCAACAACGCAAGGGGTCCTCTCCCGCACGGGCTCCCGTGACTAAGAGGGGCCCCATGGACCCCCAAAATACCCCCTCACCCTCCGCCGCTCTCCTCCTCCCCCTTCTGGCCATGAACCTCTCGCCTCATCCATCGCTGCGTCTTGGGGGCCGGATTTGGCAAGAAGGAAAATCACATCGCCATATCGCAGCAGTACTTCTATGTACCAATCTAGGTACTGACCAGGCTACGTAACCCGGACACTAATAGCATTCCCTTCCCACGTCTTTCGCCTCCGCATTCCCCACCCCGGTCCAACCAGACGAGACAGGGCAGGATAGGACCCGCCTTCCAAAAGCAGTTTCAGATCGCGGAAGACCCTCCTCCTCCTCCTCCTCGCCATCTCAACCGTAAGTAGATAATTTTAATCCATTTGCCATCAGAGGGGCGCGGCGAAAGCCGCCAACACACCACACCACACCACAAACCACAGCCAACACATTGTGTGAGAAAGCACACGATGCATGACGACATCGGCGCACAAAGTGCTGTGCGCCGCCGCAGGAGCGCAGGAGCACCCTTCGTCTCCCTCACAGCACCACAGCAAGAGGCGAGAAACACAAAACGTTAATCACGAGGATAAAGGGTTCTTATTATAAGAGGCGATAAAAAGAAAAGGCTTTCGTAACTGCCTCGCATAATAGAGACACAATAAAGAGTCGTTTTTTTATGTTGTTTTCGAGTCCGAGGTAGTCTTGAGGGCGAGGGGACCTCTCCTCGGACACGTGCCATACAGCCGGCCGACACATCCATGTGTGCTCACAACCCGCCTGCTACTGCCAGTCCGTGCGTGTGGGATTAATCGATCAATCAAATCCAACAACTACAGGATCTCCACCTTCAGCCTACACGTCACCCGAATCAAACAAACAAGCTTTACAGCAACTTTCAGCAGGCTGCTGTGCTGTCGCCGTCGCCTGCTGTGCTGTGCTGTCCTGGCTCTTGGACGTGTAGCCTCCGGCGCCCACGCGCGCGCCACTACAGCCGTCACGTTGGTACAACAATGAGAACAGCAAAACAAAAGCACCATGCCTGCCTTACCTTCCACTCCCAACTCGTTACGACAAAACGTCTGTCTGTCAGTCCGTCAGTCCGTCTGTCTGTTTTCCTCCCTGCTCAAGCTACCGCACATCAGCCAAGCTCCACCTTCTGCCGTCCCCTTCGGCAGCTCAGATCAGCTCGTTCAAACATCGACCCCCCCACACAGCCCCGTCCTCCACATCCCCGTCCTCCAGCTCCAGCGCAGCCTCAAACCCTGTTGTCGCCCCTCCACCACCAGGGCTCACCCCCTCGTCCTCCTCCTCCTCCTCCTCTGCTTCTTCCTCCTCCCCCCTCACGCGGATCATCAAGATATTCGGGAAGGTCACATTTTGGCCATCAGACAAGGCAAAAAACGACGGTCATCTATAGGCGCTGAGCCAATCAACAGCTTCGAAACCTACTCAGCGGCAGTTGGATCGTATTTCTTTGAGAGGGCTCTAGTTCCGGCTCTAGAGCGGCTGTGCTGGTGAGCTGGTGGCTTGTTGGATACCGGAGACGTCGCGTGCAGGGGGTAGGGGGTAGGTTCCTCCCTCCAAACCCCGCGCCCTCGCACCCTCCCCCATCCCTCCAGAATCCCTCCGTGAAAAACGTACGTACTTCCTTTCACACAGCTCACAACCTCCCACAGCTCACAACCCCCCAGTACACCCTTATTTATGCGCACCGCCGTCCTAGCCCGCCATAGGGTCCTCGAATCTAAGGATCTTCGGGCCCCGAGGCCGTCCCTCCCTTCCTGCATCCACGTGCCCCACGGCCTGCTACACATCCATCACCACCACCACCACCACCACCGCCATCATCATCATCATAAGAGGAAGCCTCCTCTCCATTTCTCACTATATACATGCAGCCCTCCGTCCAAACCAACCGGTGCGAGTGCGGTGTTCGTGCGCTACAGCCGACCCCGCGTGTGCGCGCCGGTAGCGTCCTGCCCTCCTGACACCACGGAGGCCTCACTGCCACTCTTGCCATTGCCAACGCCTTTACCGTTGCCCAGGCCGTTGGGCACGTACCCCTGCTGCTGCTGCTGTAGCTGCTGCTGATGATGATGGTTGTAATGCTGGTTGTTGTTGTTGTTGTTGTTATGGTTGTAGTGTTGGTGGTTGTGGTGACCTGCAGCAGTCGCATAGGCAGCAGAGGAAGCGGGAAGAGCCACACCCGCCGTGGCGTTCGGCTGCGCCGATTGCGGCGACGCCGTGTACGACGCATGGGACGCCGCGCCGGTGACGGCGGCGGCGGCGGCGGCTGCTCCCGCGGCTGCAAAGCCGGGAAACCAGGGGCCGTCGTGAAGAGCCCAGGTGCGGATGAGGTGGTGGGCGATGGCGAGAGGTGGCGGAATGAAGAAGCCCAGCTGCTCCAGGGAACGCTCCTGAACGGGGTTTCGGAGGCGGAGGTGGTGGAGGTAGATGTGGATCGGTGGACGCGGAAGTGGAGGATATGTCGTAAATCATCCTGATCAGTGCCAATATGGGCTCGGTGCGCTGATTGTGTGGGGACCTTCTAAAGTGACGTGTGTGTGTGTGTGTTTTGGGGGGAAAGGGGGGGAGGGGGAGGGGGAGGCCTCTTTGCCGTTAATATGAATAACCTAAAAGAGGCCATGTACCTGTGAAGCAAGTAGCAAGTACACGTTCTAGCCGATCCTGTCCTTGCGCCACATCACGCACACAGCTACTTTCTGCCACTCCATTACCGGACGACTACTACTTGGCTGCTTTGCTAAAGCTCTGTGTGTGTGACTTCCTCCTCCAACAACAACAACAACCTCACATCCTGGGCACTCCTCGCGGCTCAGGTCAAACATTTAAACACACACACGCACACACACATACATACAAACACCCCATATAGCAGCCCCCTTCCCTACACGCCCTACAGCAGTACAAGGCCCCCCTAGCCCCCGCAGCTCCCCCCTTTTTCTGATAACACACACACACACACACCTGCAGCTGTGCGACACTCATGGGCAGCTCCGCCACGCCATCGCTTTCGGGCAGAGGGTTCATGACGTCGTACATCCGTACGGCAGCACGCAGCTCGTCCTTGTCGTACCACTGTACGTCCTCCATCTAAACAATGGGTGCGAAGATCCGCAAGGGCGCCCCGCAAAAGTGAGTCAGATGCGTACCCTAATTTATACATCAATAACAATGCCGTGATCGAGCCGTGCGAGTCGCGGTGTTCGAATGCCTGTGTGCGATGTGCGATTGACGCCACCAAGGGGCCCAAGGCCTCGCAGTCAGCCACTTCCCCTCCCTTCCTCCCTGAACTGTGAACGCCTAAAGCATTGAGGAAGTCAGTAAATTGAGCGAAGACACGACGAAAGACAAACTGCGCTCATCAGTCCGAGTGTGCGCCCCAAATCTGCATAGTCGTCGCCCCATCCGTGTGTATGTATGTGTGTATGTATGTCCGTAGTGCTAGTCCTGCGTACACTTTTTTCAATTCTGTATTGGTACAAGGTGCAAAACGCAGTGGCTCTAACTGCACGCCGAGGCGCGTCGGCCCAGTTGTTCCTTTGCTTCTTGACTTCTGACTTGTGCTAAACATGGTAATTTCCCCTCCTCCCCTTTCCCTCTCCCCTCTCGCGCCCACCTCCTCCATGTTGACCAGTACTTCGTAGCTCCTGGCCTTCGCCATGCACCCCAGCATGAGCTCGCAGCCCCCGTAGCGGCCTATGGGCCAGGGCTGCGAGCCCACCACGGTGACCTGGGCCACAAGCACCCGGGACTCCTCAAACACCTCGCGACGGACCGCCTGCGGGGTGCGAGGTGGGGTGGGTGGGTGTTGTGGGGTGTTGTGGGGTGTTGAGGGGTGTTGAGGGGTGTTGAGGGGTGTTGAGGGGTGTTGTGGGGTGTTGTGGGGTGTTGTGGGGTGTTGTGGGGTGTTGAGGGGTGTTGTGGGGTGTTGTGGGGTGTTGTGGGGTGTTGAGGGGTGTTGTGGGGTGTTGTGGGGTGTTGTGGGGTGTTGTGGGGTGTTGTGGGGTGTTGTGGGGTGTTGAGGGGTGTTGAGGGGTGTTGTGGGGTGTTGTGGGGTGTTGTGGGGTGTTGTGGGGTGGGGGGGACAAGCGGACAACACAACACGGAAGGGGACGGGGAGGGAAACGGACATAAATCAGGGATAAGGGATGGAGGGGAAATGCGAGGAGTACAACAGTACCCGTCCGACCAACCAATGCAAAGCTCCTGCCGTACACACCTGCTGCTCATTTTTCCACGTGCACGTCTTATTCCCCCTCTTATTCCAAACCACACGAATATAATATACATACACACATAACATACTCCCAACCCTTCGCCCCGACGGGCATCACCATCACCCACCTCCTCCACGCTCTCGCACTGGTCCACAAAACCCGACAGGCACGTGTACATCCCTGGAGTAAACTTCTTGTTGCGGCCCAGCAGCGCGCGGCGACCATCCGGGGACTCCACCAACATAATCACCTGGTGAGCGTTACATGGGAGGTACGGCGGTACGGAGTGTACGGAATCGAGTTCGGGGTGATAATCAAATGAAAGAAGTGAAGGGGGCCATCTGGCGACACGTCCAAAGCACCAACTGCTTAATGGGGGTTCGCTTGTATGTTTTTGTGTGTGTATGTATGTGTGTGATGGGGAGATGTAATTATAATAAGCAAAGGGTAAGCTGCCTGAGGAGTGAAGGGGCAGCAAAGCGATGTGCTGTGTTCGTGTGGCCACGGCAAGGTAATGGGCCACGTCGTCGGTCCACGGCACCGGGGGAGAAGGGGAGGACGGGAAACACGTCATACTTGCTTCTCGATTTCGATGCACCCAGTCCCCCGGAATTCCCCCCCGCCCCCCCAACAGCCCCCCGCCAGTGGTTCGTCTTATTCCTCCCCAAACACACATCCCCACATATTCATCATTCTGGGGTTCACTCCCAACAACAGCACCAAGCCACTTGCGCATTACCAGGCCCTCTACACGCATGCCCCCCCCCCAATCACCTACACCTACCCCATCCACAACCTACCACACACACCCTAAGCAACTCTCCCCCCTCCCAACATCAACAGCCCTCCCCCCCCTTTCCCCCCCCCCACTCTCACCACGGGATCCGTCCTGGGGTACACCTTGTGGTGGGGGGTTGCGGTGCACTGCCGCCGCAGACCCGCCTCCACGGGGGCGGTGGGGGCGCCGCACCGGGGACAGAACTTGTGACTCTGGAAGGGGAGGGGGGGAAAGATACGAACCACAAACGAGTCAAAAGCTGCTGCCAGGGCAAGAGTGTAGACCAGACGTATAGAACTGACCGAAAGGCGGAAGGGGGTGTGGGTGGGCAAATAGAGGGACGACACGACAACAAGGAAAACGCATGGCGGTGTTGTTGATGGGGTTGCGATGGTGCTGTAAGTGGTAGTGTTGTTGTTGGCGGTGGTGTTGGTTATGGTGGTGTTGACGTTGATGATGATGATGATGATGATGATGAGATGCGGCGGGGTCGGTGATTTTGTGGGTGAGATACCAAAACTGTTTTGCCAAACACTGTCCCTTCATGGTGACAGCCTTCCCTCTCCACCTTTACCTCCCACTCTTTCCCCCTCCCCCCCAAAACACACACACACACACACACACACCAAACCCACCACCACCACCCCGCGGACCTATTTCCCGCCCCCCCTCGAACCTGGTGCCATTGCGACAGCGCTGTAGCCTGACCCGCGATGGCCGCCGCATCCCGGGACAGCTGCGGCAGCGCCGCCCGCAGATCACTGAGTGCCACTCCGCCGCCCAGGCTGCATGTGTCACGGAGGAACTCCATAAAACCCGTACGGCAGTCCGACACGTCCAGGGCAAACGTCCAGCGCTCTGTGCGGTCCTGACCCAGAAGGTACAGGGGCAGCTGGTAGGCCGCGTCACCTGGGGGGTAAGATTACCATCCAGGGGTGGCGATACGTGGAAAACGCAAGCAGCGGGCACGCGCAGCGGGCTAAAAAACAAAATGACAACATAGAACAATGAATATTTCTGAATTACAGGGAATCAAACTAAGGCATAGACAAAGTAGTAAGGATGGTGCTTAATAGAACAATAATGCCAAAACCATAGAGCAAAGATTTAAGATTTAAGTTATTTGAGCAGCTGGATTTACAAAGGCAAGCAGATCTGGGGGGTTGGAGATGGAGGGGTGGAGGAGGGGTTCATGGGGAACGGGGAGGAGGGCGGAGCAGCCTCCCTCCTGCCAAGGCCCCGAGGTTCCTGGTCCCCCACTCCAACGAGGGGAAGTTTATGAGTGTAACGGATTTTAAACGGTTTCATATCTCAGCTGACTCCCTGCCATCAGGGCCGTTGTTAAATAGCAGGTTAGTTACTCACCGTAAACCCACGTCAAGCAGATACTCTCGCTGTTGAGGTCGAGTTCGGGATCTGTGGCGTTGAGGAGGAGAGCCTGTAGGTCGGCGACGGGTGCGGTGCTGGCGCCTCCAGTGCTGGTTGTAGAGGTGATGGCGGTGCCTGCGCAGCCGCCCAACGTGGCGGAGCTGCTGCGATGGCTACTGATGGATTCACGCACGCAAACTTCCCGGCCGGCGACTACCACCAGGCTAATTTCGTCAGATTTTGAAGTTCCATCAAATTTAAGCCTCCGGTCATATGTGCGGTCCAGGGGGTTGCCGGAGAAGTGCTGTGGCGGCAGCAACAGCTGAGGCACTACCGCGGATAGCATTAGCGACTGCGAGTCCTCCACGAAGAAGCGGCCAGAGGCGGCTCGCTGAAGGAGCATGCTACCTGAATTTTGGGATGTCGCGCAGGGAGCCGGCGGAGGGAAGTGCGGCTCCGGCGAGGCGATTCTGCAGAGGTCGCTTTGCATTTCTTTGACAGCTCCGACGTCGGGCTGAAGGGTCCTTTTGCCAGCTTCGGAGACAAATATTTTACGTCTGTTCTAGTAGTGAAAGTTAACTGAGGCCGCCAGCAACGTCAACGCATTGGCTTCTTCCGAAGTGTCAGGGAGTCATTGCAGCGTCAACTTGACGGCCATGGTTAGATTTCCGAAACGACGTCCTTACTAGCAACGCGTAATGAGCCCGACGACCTATCGTAACGTGCTTGCCACTATAGGAAGGTTCAACTCGAACGAATAAAGTTTGCCGACGTTGCAGTTCAAACCTTGCCGGTCTTAGTTTCAAGAAAAAAACTCAAAATGGAATGCAGATTCCTACGCGGAAATTATTGAGGCAACCAACTGGTCAGGAGCTCAAGGACCCGGTCGCAGTTCGTCAGGAGCTGAGTTTAGGAAAGCTACGTTGAACGAGAGCGCGTAGCACACGACGTGAGTTCCTGTGATTTGCACCAAACGAAATTCATGCGGCTATTCGGGAAATACGCTGTGTCCCAAAAGCTTCTAACGCTAACGCATCGGTTCTTTGTACGGCTGACCGTAAATCTAGTTTTGCTGGGCATGTATGTCTTCTAAGACATACATGCGTTGTTTATATTAGTCGTTGTTGTCTAAACGGGCGTCCGAGTGCCTTGAAGATCAGGCCGGCCGGCGCATAAACTTGCTTCACTATCCACCTCCAGCTTGTTAACCCCGTAGCCGCGCCGCGCGAGGAGGCGTGCCAAGCACCTCTCTCCAGCCAAAAAAAACATGCCACACCTAGCAGCAGTCTCCTCGTTACGCTCAGCGACCACTTCAGCGCGCGGCGCGCGCTCCGCACCAACAGCACCTGCAGCTTTCTCGTGGTCTTCATCCCTACCCACACAACCAACAGCCCGCTGCCCAAACCCCCGCAACTCGCGAGCTCCAGTCCTTGCAGCTGCCGCCTCCACATCCGCGCCTCCTGGCGCCTCCACCACAGTCCTGATCGCTTCCTCGCCACCTACAGCTGCGCCCGCGCCCGCCCCCGTCACCTACAACTACCACCAACTAGAGGTTCCACAAACCCCACCTGGCATCGCCCTCATCGATATCACACCGCAAATTCGGGAGCTTGTGGCACAGGTACGTGGCCCTCTGGCTCTCGCTCTCCGTGGATATGTTTGCTACAGCGAGGCGCGTTAGGACTAATGAAAATATGGGACAAAAGGGGTTGTAAGGGCAACGGGACTAGAGGGCTACGGAGGCAAAGCACGGGCGCGTGAAACAGACACCCGGTATAGACGGATACTCCTGGATTAATCAGGTATGAGGTGTGGAGGGGATAGGGGATTGGAGATGTGAAGAGTGCACATCAAGTGTGATACAGCAGCGGGAGGGAGAGGGAGAGAGCTTAGCGTTACGAAACGAAGGTCGCCCTGACCGTTGCAGTCTGTCAGAGCGCCATGGACGGCAATCATTACTGCAACCGACATTCCAACCGACATTCCAACCGACATCCCAACCGACATCCAACCGCAGGCAGGGCTAATGGAAGGCTGCGTGCACGTGCTGTCGCGGCACACCACAACGGCACTAACCATAAACGAGAACGAGGCCCGGTTGCTGGACGACGTACGGCAGGTAATGCCGTACATACCTGTTGGAAATGCATGCATGATTTGTGTATATGCACATCTGGTTTATGTCTTTCTGATCCTGACACTTTTCAAAAGCATGTGGTTGCTGACGCTGCTAAATTTAGAGCAATGCTGCTGCTGCAGCTGCCGCCGCTACTGCCAGACCCCTTGGGAAGGTTTGTCCGTCCTTCCCCCCTCGTCCCCCTTCACTTTCCCAGCCGGACTTCACCCCGTGGCTCACGCAGCTCTGGGGCCATGTCTCCCCCCGCCCCGGCGGCCACAACACAGAACGCTCCTCCCCCCCCCCAGTACTCCTCCTCCGACCCCTTCTACCGTCCTTCCTCCACCCCTCGAGACACGCACACACACACGCGCACACACACAGTCCCTCTCCCCCTCCCTGCCTCCGTTCCCGTTTACCCAGGTCTCATTGACAAACCCTTCCTGCACACTAGCATACCTACCCGTCCTGATAACCTCCATCCCTGTGTTAAGCCCCTCCCCCCCCTCCTCCACCTGCCCCACCGGGAAACCCCCGACCCGACCCGACCCGACCTGACCCGCGCCAGCTCATTCACTTGGCTTCCTGTGTCCTTTGTTTTACCCCTGATACACACCCGCCCGCCCGCCCCGGCGCGCGCAGTTCCTGGCCCGTCTGGCGCCCCCCACTGATCCCTACCTGCACAACGACCTGCACCTGCGACCTGCGCCCGACAGCTGGCCGGGGGGCTGGGCGGCCTGGGCAGCGCAGGAGCCCCGTAACGCCCACAGCCACTTGTTGAGCATGCTGCTGGGTAACACCTTGACGGTGCCGGTGACGGGGGGGAAGCTGGCGCTGGGGACGTGGCAGGTACGATAACGTGTACGACTATGTGTGTGCATGTATGTATGTATGTATGTGTTTGTTACGTGTTATGGTGAGGTTAATAATATTAAAACCCCGATGAGGAGAGGATAAGGCAGGATAAGCCCCTCCCGGGCACAGCGGGATAAGGGGAACACGCGGGAATGTGCCCCGCCGTCCTTTCCTTTTGGGCTGCCCCGCCTGCCGCCGCCTTCTCCTCCTTCTTGTTCTCCTCTCCTTCTCCTCCTCTTCCAACGGCGCTTCCCACGGCCCGCCTTCATGAAAGAAACCCCTTCTCCTCCCTGAAGCCCCCTTCCTCCGCTCGGCTGCTGTCCAGTCGGTGATGCTGGTGGAGCTGGACGGCCCCCGGCCGCGAAGTGTGGGTGTACAGCTGGTGGGGCATGCGGCGTACCCCCCCACCCCATGACCTGCGCCACCTGGGCTCCCTGAGCGACACCGGGACCTCGAGCTCTATGGTGGACGACTACAGGAGGAAGAGGGGGAAGGGGGAGGGGGGAGGAGAGGACAAGAGAGGAGGGGAGGTGAACGAAACTGGATTTTTGCTGGCTCGTGTGTGTGTGTGTATACTTGTTACAAATCTGTCCGGGCTTGACTCTGGCCAGGGGCACCTAACCACGTGCGCGTGTGTGTGGGGAGAGGTGAGCGCGTGGGGTCCTATGGTGGAGTGGGGCCTGAGATCTACGTAATGGAGCTGTGGGGAGAGTTTTAGGGTGTTGTTGTCGTGATGGACGGGTTTAGGGCTCCGTACAAAGAGAAGGGGGTGTAGACCTGGGGGAGAGAGATGCGCGCGGAAACAGTCGGCATTCCTTCTACTCGCATTCCGCCTCCGACTCCTGCCTTCGTTGCGTACATGTTCTTTTGTGTTTTTAAGTATTTCGGCCAGGCTTCCTGACGGCTGTGTCTGACCATGACTTGATCATGCAACTGCCTGCCGCAGCGAGTTGAGCAGTAGCTATTTAACTTGCCCACCCTTTTGGTGTACGGCCGGCTCTTCCGGTGCTGTTAGTTGTTGCTTCAGAATACTACTGCCATTTCTGTTGCAGATGGAGAGAGGCTGAAAGGGCCCGAAGAAGACGGCCCTTACGAACGCGAGAAAGAGACACAGCAACTAAACTAAATTGGGCTGCACCTTCAACGGGCGAGCGCGCGCTGAACAGCAAAATCAACAAAAGCTTAACGGCTTATCCCGCGTAATAAATGACGGCCCCCAGGACACGTTCCGCTGCGAGACAGTTAGTCTTAATGGTTTTTAACAGCTACGCATTGGGCCTTACGCCCAACTAACCCAGCTTACTTAACGCAAGCTCGCATTATTGCTTCATCAGCTGATTGTAACAACCGTTGCTTGCTTGTGGCTTTTGGTTCGACTCTTCAGGCTTTGGCGCGGCTCAGCTCAATGGGAGTCAGCAGCTGCTGGTCCGTTCCGTTCAACATATTCCTGCGGTTACATTACTGCTGCTTATAGCCTTTCTTCCATTCCATTTACAGTTCCACCACGTCCTCTTGCGGCTAAACTCTGACTTTGTTCAAGTACAGTTTTGCCTGTAACCCAGACCAATTACAATAGCTGGGGGCTTAGCCAGGTGGCCGGAAGCAGGGGAACCAAGTATAGATCAAGGCACGTAATGGACTCGTTACGCTTTTGCGTAAAGATGCTCCATTACCTGTAGTGTGCTAAGCAGGGGCCGGTCTGTTGGAGAGGTGATACGGACAGGGCCTGTTGGGGCACGTGAATTCAGCGTCAAGTCAACAGCATTATACGCGTCTTCTCCCTACGAAAGAGTTATACCACCGCATAGCCGAATTGCTTTGGACATGTCTGCTGGACATTACTTAGCAGTTTCATTTAAGCACATGAGTACTTGGTTGGAGCCACCGTTGGCCGTTAAGACATGACCACCTAGATGGTTTTCACCATTATTAAATCATTCCAATGTAGCTCATGTTTTTGCGTATGTACTTTTTACGTCAGCCAAATTGGTTCAATTAGTCAGGAAACAATGCGGACGTTCTTTTGGGGCGGAAACTAGGAGGTCCGCCTGAACCTCCTTTTTTAATAATCCTTGACAAAGCACTCTCAAAATCCATTTCAGATTAAACATACTGCTACTTTGCCGGAGACAATGGTCGTTGCGCAGCGCGTGCTCATAACAGGCGGTAACACCGGAATAGGATTTGAGGCAGCCCGGCAGCTCCTGCAGCGTGGCCACCATGTCATCATCACCTGCCGAGATGCCAATAAGGCGAAAAAAGCTGTCGATGCCCTATCGTAAGCGGAACCAGGCTGGACTGCTTCACGCCCGCATTTCACGCATCCTATCCCAGCTTGCCTGCAAAAAAAGTTCCCGGGAAAAATAAAACATCTGAGGTACCTCTCTGTTAATCTCTAAATGTAACACAGGCCTGTGGCTGAAGCCAGCGGCGCAACGGTGAAGTCCGCGCTGATTAATCTAGCATCGCTATCCAGCGTCAGGACCGGCGCAGCGCAGCTGCTCAAGGAGCACCCCAGGCTGGACGTGTTGTGCTGCAACGCGGGTATGCTGTGCAGGGCCGACAGCTCTGCTCCCCTGGAGCGCACTGAGGACGGCCAGGAACAAACCCTGCAGGTTCGGCCTCTGAAACAGCTCCTCGAAGACTGACCCCCTGGTCTCCATAATCACCATCCATCCCTATCAAAAAGCGACCGTGTATAAGTATTGCCGGATTTTGGCTTGCTTTTGCGGCTGTTGCTTCCGCGGCGGTTGCAGCGGTTGCTACTGCAGCTGTGACTGTTATCACTGTTGCTGCTGGGCCTAGGTTGCGGACATAGCGTCAAGGGTCGTGGGCGGTATCTGAACCATCTGAACCGGGGCATATCAATCTCCCCCCCCGGCTCCCAACCCAGCGCGCAGACTTGATTCTCCTATCGTGCACTCACGTGCACCCAAATGGCCAGGTGGTAGTACGGCGGTTGTACGGGTTCATCCATCTCACTCCCAGATGCTGGCGTGTACCTACCTACCCCTATGACATTTGGTACTTTGGACCTTTTAAATCAGAAATTATTATATATCTCTTTACTCTTTTTTGCGTAATCACCGTCATCGACGCCATCACCATCATCGTCATCATCACCATCGTTGTATGATTCTCCAGCTTCCCCCGTCCCTCTCCTCCCCTTCCGTCTACCTCCCGTACCTCCCTCTCCTACCTCTCCTTGCCCTGCCCCCGTCCCCCCCCCCCGCCCAACCCCCCGGCAGGTCAACCACCTAGCCCACTTCCTACTGGTCCACCTGATGCTCCCAGCACTACTGGCCTCACCTGCTGCACGAGTCGTGGTAGTGTCTTCAGAGCTGCACCGCAAAGCTACAGCCGCCACAGGCGGTGGCGGCGGCGGCGGTAGCAGCACCACCCCGCAAACTACATCACAGATGGCGTCTCTGCCCGTGCCCCTGGCATCGCCGGAATGGATTACGCGCCTCGGCGCCAGCGCCAGCGCCGGCGCCAGCGGGGGCGGCGGCGGCGGCGGCGGCGGCGGCACCGGTGCAACTGGCGCGATGCCGCGGCCGACGGGTTTCCAACTTTACTGCACTTCCAAGCTGTATAACTTGTGGTTCGTGTACAAGCTGGCAGGCATGCTGCCGGCGTCGGTCAGAGTAAACGCGGTGACGCCGGGTTGGGTGCCTGGTACGGCACTGGGCCGCGACATGCCGTGGATGGCGAGGCTGGCGTACCAGGTACGACGGCGAGACGTACGATTGTACGGGAAAGCGCTGGGAATTGGTTATATAAAACAACAGCGCGGCAGTGCCGGGCGCGCCGCGACGACGTGTGTCCACCTGTCTATCGGTCTGTCTGCCGGTCTATCTGTCCCATCCTTCGGAATTTTAGTCTTTGCCCTGCCACTGCCCCACGAGCTTGTACGTGCTCGTACATACACACGAGCCGCCACCTCCACCACCCTTATATCTCTTCTGGAGTGAAGCCCCTACTGTGTATTGCCAGCCCAGCCATATGATATTCCTCCCTCCTCCCTTGTGCTCATTCGGCACACGCTGCTTCGCTACTTCGCCACTCCGAAACCCGCCGCCAGTACGTCTTTCCGCTGCTTCCGGGCACCACCTCCGTAGCTGAGGGCGCCCGGCGGGTGGTGGAGGTGTGCGTCGGGCAGCAGGCGGGCGCTGCAGTGACCGGCACCTACTTCTCCAGGGGCGTACCCACGGAGAGCAGTGCGGAGAGCCGGGACGAGGAGGCGGCAGAGGCGCTGTGGCGATTGTCAGAGCAGATCACGGGTGTGAAGCCGGGGGGCTACGTGCGGACTACGTTGCCGCAGGAGGCGGAGACGACTGCTGCTGCTGTATCGGACGTGGGGACGTCCTCCGAAGTGCCGCTTTGAGCGCCGTTGGATATCCCGTGGGAACGTAATGACATATATAAGTAACAGGATGTGGGGCTGGTTATGCTAGCGGAACTGCCAAGGAATGGAGCCGAGGGTTGATGACAATTGTCGCGTCTGTCGTTTGTTGATTGTGTCGTGTTATGTTGTGCTGTGTTGCACCGGCGCCTGGCATGTACTATGCAAGAGACATCTAGATTGTAAAGCATTACGATGTATGATGCCGGTTGGAGAACGCGCCGTTCCAACTGCGCTCCGAAACTGGCCCAAATTCCGTGACGGCTTCAACGAAAGAATTGTGCTGCATACTGATATCCTCACAGATTTCTACATAGATGTTGGAAATCCATTTCTTATGTGGTAGAAGGCGGTAGTGTGCTTACATCTGATATATTTGGGGGCAAAAGGAATGTTTCGAGATGGACAATAAGGTAGTTTTCCAATTGGACAGCCTTTTTATAAGTCAAGCTCGCAGCATACATTATCGACATGCAATGGCAGAGTCGCATCTTGTATGGAGGGATGGCACGGACGGTGAAGCAGCTGCTCGGTCCCCATAGAACCCGTGGATTACAGGTGAGACACGTAATATATCAACTTTTGTTCAGTATCATGTAGAAGGCTGTCTACATATGTCATGTACAGCCCGCAGTTTCTGCAGCCTGTGAGTCACAGGTCTGGGGTCGCCTGGGTCAATGCCTTACCTTCAACCCAATCCCATCATGCCGACATCCTTTTTCCCTCCCAGTTCTCAACAAAATCTCTGTCGGACCTTGAAAGGCTGCCGCCAGCCAGCGATGAAGCGTCTTCTTCATCGTCATCGGCAGCTCATGCGAACACCCCGCACCTGCACACGGTCTTGCGAGTTCAGCAAGGGTTTAACACATTTGCTGTTGCCACCTTCACGTTCTACGCACCACCGACAGAGCCGGGGGAAGCTGCTGCCGCGGCCCTCGGGTCTGCCGCACAGCATGCAGCGCAGGTGTGTTGCCGTGCGCCGGACGCCCCTACCTAGCCGTTGCACCTTCTTTACTTTCTCTCCACTCGAGGCAGCCTCATTAGGTCAAATTGGAGGCGACCCAAATGGGCTTTTGTGGGAAAAAGCGGTGGTATATTTGCATTTCCGCAGGGCTCTGTAGGGCTCTGGTCTGTTCCCCAGCAGAGGGGGGAGCAGAGGAGCATATGTCTGACGGGTATTTGTCTGTCTGTTTATCTACCTTATATTCAATCTTTTTCAAAAAAACTGGGAAAATAAACAGCCCTGAGCTTGTTCACTTGCAGCAATTTTCAAAAAAAATCAACAATTCAACACCACGCTGCTGCAATCCCACCCCTCCAACGACGTAATGACGACGATGACGATGCGCCCCAGGTAGGGCTGCTGGCCCTCCGGGGAGCCTTGGGCGCCTCCAGGCCGCCCTCGGCCCTGGTTGTACTGCCGTCCCTGGAGTTGCCTAAGCAGGCAGTGGAAGTGCTCACGAAAACGCTGGCAGAGGGGCTGATGGAGGGCGGCCCGCCGCCGTCACTGCGGCAGGGAGGGCTCCAGGGAGGGCCGGCGACGGCGGCTGCGGCGCCGATTGTAGGTGCGTGTCAAGGGTGTCCTTCTTGTTGCGTGCTTTGACGTGCGTATGTATGTGCGTGTGTGGGGGGGGGAGGGAGGGGAGGAAGAGGTGAGGCCCAATGGTCTATGTGTATGTATGTGTATGTGCGTGTGAGTCCTGACACGTGTATTCCCATAATGTATCTGTTTTGTTGTTGTTGTTGTGGTGGTGGTGGTGGTGATTTTGGTTGTTGTTGCTGTTTGGTGTTGTGATGATGTTGATGGTCATCGTGTGTTGTTGTTGTGGTGGTGGTGTATAGTATCGGGGGAACCGATCGCTTCTGACAATTCTGGGAGGTCGCGACAGAGGGAAGAGGAGGTGGAATGGGGCCTTATGCTGTTTTATGACGATGAGGTTTATCCGCCCCGCGGGTGGAGGTGGGGGAACTGAAGGGAAAGGGGAGGGAGGGGAGGGGAAAGGGGAGGGGAGGTGGGGGATTGGATAGTGTACTTCTCCCTCCTTCGGCCCCCCCCTTTTCGCACACACGTTCCCCATCTTTACGTCCCTACGTCTTCCCTCCCGCCATCCCCCTCGGTGGGTGGTGATGTGGACGTCATCGGCAGTTGCTCCTTGTTTTTATTTTTTTGCCAATCATTATCGTCATCATCCTCATTATCATATATACTTTCTCCCGTCCCCTTTACCTGTCCCCCTCCCCTCCTTCCCCGCCTCCTCCGCCACCACCTCCTCACTAAGGCTGTAGCTCCCGATTGAGGTTGCCAGACGAACGACGAGCTGTAGCAGAATCTGAATTAGCAGCAGCAGCAGCAGCAACAACGCCAGCAACAGCCGGTGACGGGATGGCCGCTCCAAACCAGCGCCATGACCATCCCCGCCGTTTCCACGTCACGTTGGCAGCAGTCCACCTGCCGGATTATGAGGTGGTTGCAATCCGTTGCGAAACGGTGAGACGGATCTGCCGTACATGAAAATGCCGTACATAAAAGTAGAAAGGGGATTTTTCCGCGAGGAAAGGAAAGGAAATGCGCACGAATTTGCGCGCACATATATAAGGAGAGATTATCCGTTTTGTTTAAATTTATAATTATCGAAATTTAAATTTTGTTATTTCTGGTTTCCATGTTCCAAACATGTCCCAAGGTAAAATACCGTTTCGAAATATAAGCCTGATGAAACAAGAAGGGATTTGCTTGTGCAGAGCTCTTTGCCGAGGCTGCCGTACCTCGCGGAGGCGCTCCAGGGACGGCGGCCCCCTGCCTTTTTGCTCATGGCGAAGTCCGACTCGATGGCAGGAGAGCTGCTGACACGACTGGAGGTACGTACGACACGCCGTACTACGCGTTACAACATAACATAACAATTCTAAGAGCTTTATTTGCGGTATTGTCGAATGTACAACAAGAGAGGATTGTGGAGAGACGCCTTTAATGGAAAAAGGAACTACATATTTGTATGTATTTTTTGTCGGCGTATGCAAATTTTCAAGCATTTCACCAGCGTTTTGGAGGCCTTGTCGTAGGCGTGGCAATGACTGAATCCGTTCGATCTACCTCCGATTGCCCTCCTCCTGCAGCCGCTATCCCCCGAGTATTCCTGCCTCGCCACGCCGTCACTAGCATTATGTGTTTTTTTATTTTTAATTTTAACTATTTATTTATTTTTTAATTTTCACTTCATTTATTTTTATTTTTTATTTCCACTTTACCCCGCGACACACACACACACACACACACACACACACACACACATGGACACAAAAACTCTCACACCCGGGCGGGCGGGCCGTGTAACAGAACCTCTTCCCGGGGTCTGTCATCGGGGCCGGAGTGGCGGCGGAGCGGCGGACGCGAGACCGCCGCCGACTGATGCTAGTGGGCCCTGGCGGCGGCGGCGGCGCCACCGCCAGTGCAGGAGCCCGGTCAGCCCCAACGGCGACAAACCCGCCGCCGGAATCCGCGTTGGCGCCGTCGTCGTCATCATCATCATCATCATCATCATCTGCAGCGACGGCAGGGGAGCTTGGTGAGTACTGTCCTCCGGTCATGTGTTCGCTCTCACGCTCTCCATTTCTCTGAAACGCACACACATACACGCATACACACACATTCACACACACACACATGCACCGCAGAGGGCCCCTTCCAACGTATGCTACTGGATCGCGACGGTGGCGCAACAGCCACAGCCAGCGGCAGTAGCAACAGCACCAGGGGCAGTAGCAGTAGCACCAGCGGGAGTAATGGCAGCAGTAGCAGTAGGAATGGCAGCGGCAGCAATGCCGGCGGCGGGCGGCGGCGGCGGCCGGCGCCAGGGGCTACATCCGCGGGCCGCGGTACAGTTGGCGACTCTGGCGCTGGCGGCGGCGGCGGGGCTAGCGGCAGCGGCGGCGGCGGGGCTGGCGGCGATAGAACCCAGCGGTCGCCGTCGCTTGCGGCCTCCGCCGTCGAGGATGCCGACGCGGGGGCGGAAGCTGCAACTGCGGTCCATATGGCCGAGCTACAGCTGCCGTACGTAATTGTTGGCGATCAAGTTCATGGGGACGGCGGCGCGCTGCTGGCGGTGTACCCAAAACAGCCTGCTGCCGCAATAACCCCCTCCTCCTCCTCGTCCTCCTCCGCCTCGTCCCATTCCGACCTCCGTTTGGGCGCTACGGCGTGTGATCTATTTGCTCGGTTGGCTCTGGGCAGCGACCACCTGCATCATGTCGTACTGTGGGTAAGAGATGAAGAGGAAGAGGGAAAGGAAAGAAAGGACAAACCAACTGAGTCGCTACTTTTGCGCGTGAATGTATGTAAGTGCGTGTGTAAATGTGTGTGTGTGTGTGTGAGAGAGAGAGAGAGAGAGAGAGAGTTAGAGAGAGAGAAGTGAGAGGAAAGTTAGTTGGGAGGAAGAAGCCGCCACCACCTAGGTCACGTACTGAACATCATCTCCCCTTCCCCCCCTTGGCAGCAGCTTCACTCCTTCGTGGTTCGTCTTACCCCCTCACCCCCCCCTGAGGCCCCGTGCCTAACACCATTCTCGTTCTCCCCTCCCTCCCTTTCCCACCATCATCATCTTTTCACCCACGCACCCACCCCACTTCCTCCATGCATCTTGTCCCCCCCCCACGCAGGGCTCCTCATCGACCGCCATCTCCCCCCCCTCGACGGGACCTGAGCCCGTCGCCCCCCTCCCAGCCGCCCCCGACAACCCCTTCTACTGGGCCCCGGCTCGAGTAGACGCACCGGGCCACGTGCAGCTGCTGCTACCAGATTCCAAGACGCAGAACCTGATCCTCGGGGATCTCACGGATCCAGGTTTTATAGATTTCGCGGATCCGGATCTTGCAGATTTTGCGGATTTTTCTGGCGGTCCGTATCCGCAAGGCGGCTCTCCCCAGCAGCAGCAGCAGCAGCCGCCACCGCCGCCGGCAGCATCGGTAGCATCGGCGGGGTTGAGGTCGTCCTCCCTGGAGCCTTCATTACCAGGGGTGAAGGCACCATTGCCAGCAGTAGCAGCCGCAGTAGCAGGGGAGGCGGCAGTTACAACAGCGACTGCGAGCTGTGTGGAGATGTCGGAGGGGGCAGGACGAGCTCAGCAGCCGCAGGAGGAGGAGGAGGGGGAAGAGGGGGCCCTTTCCTCCTCCCCCTGCGGCT